CCATCAGGCGGTCTCGCGTTAGTTGCGCCAGCGAAACATTGTGTGGAGTGGTCGAGCTTCGGCAAGTCGGCCAGGGCTGCGGCTGTCTGTGCGCCGTATTCTTGGAGATGGATCGTGTTTTCTTCGTGCTGTAGCTGCCGAGTTAGGATTGCTGGGCCGCGCGGCGTGGAAGCTGCACAGGTCGACAGTAGTGGGGATGATAAAGAAACGGGACCCTCAGTTGTTGGAGGCGCTGCAGCTGGACGAGTACGCCGTCGAGAGGACGGCGGCCTTGCGGAGAGAGTTGCCCGCGCAGGTGACCAGCGGCGCCGCGTGGGACAGTCTGCCGAACTGGAAGGTGGCGCCGCGGGCAGGGGGGGGGCGGGGGAAGCCCCCCCTCCCCCCCCCTTCCCCCCTTCCCAAGCCAGAAGATCAAGAATGATGATTACCAAGCAGTGATGGCACAGTGGTTTCGCAGTATCTCGGAACCGTAGGACGGGCCATTCGAGACGTCGCCGCGAGGGCGTCTGCGGCCGCGCGGGGGCGCTGCGCTGGCGGGGTTGGAAGTTTCAGGGGGCGCGTTCAGGCGTCTCGGGGGGGGGGGGGGGAGCTTGTCGAGGTTCCCTTTGTTGCCCTATCCCTCAATGTCTTTTGCAATCCCCTGTGCTTTGGGTTTGTTTGTTTCAGCCTGCGCAGGTGCACTACGTGGACTTATGCGTGGGCTTTCGTGTGGAGGACGTGTCGGCGACGCGCCGATATGCAGACGCTGTTGTGATCGCTCATTTCTTGGCGTCTCGTGGAGCTCTCGCCCTGTGCGTGCCATTCAACGCGTGGGCCCAGACGGCTGTCTTTCCATGCCGGGGGTTGTTGCAGAGGCGCGCGCAGCTTCCAGTGCTTGATTTTGCAGTGGTCCGCTACGACGTCGACGGGCATGCGCACTACGATGCCGCTGTCGTGGCTGCGTCGAGAACGGACGCTCCGCGGCCGTGGGGGCCCTCGATCGCTTGCCGGGGGGTGTTCAGCGACCCGGCGTGCTTCGCAGACGTTGATGCGCTCTTCGGCGTGAGCGACCCCGCGGCATTCTGTCGTCGAGTCTTACGCGTTCTCGACGACCCTGCTGGAGTAGACGCGGCGCTGCCGCCGCCTCCTCCGCCGCCGCGGGCGACAGAAGAGGAGGGGCAGGATGCGTCGGCAAATGAACGCCAGCGGCGCAGCGCAATCATGTCATCGCGCTCGGCGCAGACAAGTGCGTCGCGCTCGGCGCAGAGATCGTCCTCGGCAGAAGGGCGTCCACCTGCGAGCGAGGAGCGCACGGATAACTCGCCCCCGGTGAAGCGCCCTATTCGACGCGCTGCGGAATCCGCCAGAGATCCAGGCGCTGCTAGAAGAGAGCGAGCGGGCTGCCCGGGCAGAGCTCTCGCAACCGACAAACGCACGCCAGAGGAATTCTTGGCGTCGCCCGAGGAGGCTTCGCATTCCTCGGCGCGTGAAGCAATGGCGCCCGTCCGTCGCTGGGAGGCCTCTGCGACGAGTCACTTGAACAACTCGCGCGGGTTCACAGTGCAATTAGCGACGCAGTAGGCCGGGAATTGCGAGGGGATGATCTCACGGGCGACGGGCGCGAACCTCCTTTTGTCTTCCGCGCAATGCTTGAATGCAGAAGTAGATGAGGCAGAGAAGGCGTGGCGTTCCTACGCGGAGTTCGACGGCGACGCGGGCGCAAGGATCCTCAGACTGGCGATTGTGGTATGCCAGAAAAAGCTGGAAGCGGCCCCCGCAGCCCGTGTTTCTCCGGAAGCCTGGCGCGGGCAGCGCGGGCACCCCGTCGCGCTCGGCGCGGGCGGAGTGCCCGGCGGAGCAGTTTGCGTCGGAAAAAACGGAAGACGGCGAACAATCACCCGCGCCAAAACGCCCGAGGACGGAGGCCGCAGAAGCATCGATGCAGCTGGCCAGACAGGCATGCATGCAGGCGGCTGACGATGCGGCAGCGCCGCCAGTTCCTTCCCCGCGCTCAGAGCGCCGGCCCGGACGCGCAGCGCACGCTGCAACGACCGCCGGCGCGCTCCGAATCCGCTCTGGGCGAGGATGCTCTGACGGTTGCACCGAGCACCGCAGCTTTCTGCCGGCCGCTGCGTCAGGCCCCGTGCCCGCGCGGGTGGCCGCGGAGGCAGCCGCCCGGGCGGCGGCCGCGAGGAGTTCCCCGGCGGGGGTGCCGGGAGAATCCGTGGCCTCGAAGCCAGATGGAGATGGGCCCGGCAGCGAAGCGCGGGCGACGTCGGGCCTGGAACGCCGCGGAGGAGACTCATCGCGTTCGGCGCAGACCGCCGCTGCGTCGCCCTCGACAGAGCACTCTGCAGCGGCGGGCGCCGCGTCCGATGCGTTGGCATGCGTCGGGTTCGGCGCCGGTTGTGCGGGAGGCAGCTGCGGCGCGACGGCGTCGCCGACTGGCGCAGCGCCCGCGCCGCCTGGCTCAGGGTCGAGCGGGGGCGTCAGCGAGGATTCGGCGGGCGAGGAAGATGATGGAGATGGCGAAGACGAGCTCTCCTTTTCTGTGCGAGCTCTCGAGGCGCCGCCCTCAGGATGGCCTCGCGCTGAAATGGGCGCGATTTTGAGACGCCGCGCACAACTGCAGAAAGTGTTGCGGCGGCGGCGGCCAACGTTGCCCTTGAGCGCCGATGAAGCGGAGCGTACTGCGTCAAATCTGTCCAGTGGGACTCGATTGCCTTTATACTCGTGCCCTTTCAAGAACAACTCCAGTGGCCCCTGCAATTTCCACGCGATCGACCGCGCGGCGTTCATGCGTCGCATTGCAGGGGGCGCCGTGGATAGCACGCACAGGGGAGAACTAAGCGACATCTGCGTGTACGACATAGAATGGATGGACAATTTCACCAACGTGAACGGAGCCATTGCCGTGGCAGGAAGAGAGGGGCCGCTTCTGGGGCTTTCAGTCACGTGGCGTTCTTTGAACCTCACTGCCAAAAGGTGCAACGACGAATCAATGTAGTGTCTCGCTTCTTTCATTTGTGCCCAACAGCGCACCGCCTGCTCGGGGTATCCCGTGGTTGACCTGAAGAGCGATCGAGCGAACCAGTCTCCCCCATTCCATACCGAGATCCGCGATCATGCACAGGCTGACTTCTGCGCTGTGGAGAGAGATTCCCCCGGCGCTCTTGCTGAACAATTGCAGCTGCGCGTTCTGGAAGCGGCCTTGCTACGGGGTTGAGCGGGGGGACACAGCGAGCAACACCTACCCCTGGAGAAAGGAGAGCTCATCGAATATCGACCGCTGGAGGAGCACGTGCAAAACCGGGAACGCCACGTATCTCGCAGGGTCATCCGCATGGAGCATCTCGGACACGAGGGGGGGCTTGTCGGGCGCACGGAAGACATCGACTGCCATGCAAAGCTCGATCACCACGCCGACGATTTCACCACCGATCCATTTTGCAGGAAGCTATGTGGAGAGTGCCATGTGCCCGTGTGTCAGGACTGCTGGAGAAGGCTGCGTGATCACGACGACGGGTCTCCATTCCGGGGCGGCGGAACGATCCCCATGAGCATCGGCAATGAGCACTGCTGAATTGCGAATAGGGGTTTTCGTTTAGGTGTTGGGTCTGGAACCCTCTGGGGGAGGCCCCAACGAACGTGTTCGTGAACAAACTAGGGCCGTAGAGCATGTCCAGGCCCCGTCGCCACCGCTACGGCCACTTCCAGAATTTTACCGACGTTTCCTCCTCCTCCCTTCTCCTCCCCCTCCTCCGCCTCCTCCTCCTCCTCCTTGCCGTCCTCCTCCTCCTCCTCCTCCTCCTCCTCCTCCTCCTCCTCCTTGTCCTCCTCCTCGGCCTCCTTCTCCTCTTCCTCCTCCTCGTCCCTCCTCCTCCTCCTCCTCCTCCTCCTCCGCCGCCGTTCGTCGTCGTCGTGGTCTTCGTTGTCGCCGCCGCCGCCGTCGGCGCCGACGCCATCGTCATTGTCGTCGCCGTCGCCGCCGTCGTCGCCGTCATCGTCGCGGCCGTGGCCGTCGTCGTCGTCGTCGTCGTCGTCGTCGTCGTCGTCGTCGTCGTCGCCGTGATCCGCAGTATTCGCTGAAATCCTTGAGAAGGCCCCAAGATCTTAAGGATCGTCTGAGAAGCCTCAGGAGCCTCAGGAGCCCCAAGTTGGGGCCCCAAGGGGCCTCATAAGCCTTTTAAGTGTTCTCTAGAGAGAGAGAGAGAGAGAGAGAGAGAGAGAGAGAGAGAGAGAGAGAGAGAGAGAGAAAGAGACAGAAAGAGAGGGAGACAACGTAAGATAACAGTATGAGCACTCCACACGAAGCATAAAAAGAGACGTGGGCCCTTATGGTGTGGCCGTCCCAAGGCAGGGAAGTGGACGAGAGCTGGATAACTATGTGGCCGCATGTCCTTCCAGAGCTTGGCCCAACGTGGACGGACGCGCTGGCCAGTGGCTTTCCGCGCGAGTATCCAGAACGTGGACTCCGCGCGTTCCGTATGTGAATGGACTCCAGAAGGGCCGCGGAAGCCGGATGAAGGCCAAGCGGAAAGTGCAGGAACTGAGTGAGTGAAATAGGTTGGCGGAAACGGCGGAAGTGATAGTGAATCTTGCCATGCGGAGTCGGTCTGGATAGCCGTTTTGGCCCAATATGGAATCTTTCATCGTGCTGCTCAGCACCCGACACCGGACGGGGCGAGGTCCTGATAGGTCTCATGTGCGCTGGTCGCTTCCAGAAAGCTGTGGGCCACAAATGAGATCAATAGGCAGTATTTCAAAAACGTCGGCGGAATTTTTGCGGACAAGGCTCCGCTCATCCACGCTCTTGTCAGGTTTCGCCGACGACATTCACCAGGCTATGCAGGGTAGTGGGTCTGCAAAGATAGTTGGGGCGGCACTACTTCGTTTGGGCCCGTGCAGGACGGCCCAGTATCATGATGCAGTTGGCATGGACAGCGTGTGGTTTGATTTGGAGGGTCCCAGCTGGCAGCGCGCACACTGGCAAGTATTGGCTGCCGCACCTTTTGGAACAGGAGTGGTGGCAATTCCAGACCTGGACCTGCATGTTCTGCGGTGGAATTGGTTCAAGCCGAGTGACGTGACTATACAGAGGTGCCGTGAAAGTATGGGCGAAGTTGCACGGAATTGGCGACAGTGCGGCATCTTTGATGGCACGTTGAAGCATGATGAAGTGATTGTTTGCAGTTTACCCCCTGTTCTGGCGCACATGGTGGCGGGTGGTCTGATTGATTCGATTTCTTTCAGCTTGAGCCGCCGATCAGACCATCAACTTAAGCCACTTCGGCCGTTGCGCAAACTTCGACGCACCATCGTCCGCCCAGATGGCGACCAAGAGTTAATCTTCAATTCAGCTGCATTTCAAGCACTGGCACATGCATTGGGCAATGTTGCGAGAGACGGCATCAGCGATGACCTGGAGCAGCGCCAAGAGACGCATGACGAACTCGAGCGTTTCCGCCAGTGGGCGCTTCGTTGCTCGCACACGCTCTCGAAACAGAATATGCTTGCACACAGAGTGGAAAAGGGCGGCAAACGTGCCAGGCTTTGTCACCTTCGAGTTGGGGCAGCTGGAGTCGACGAGCATCATGGACGCTTCGCCAGTTGGTTCGTTCTGCACTCAGTCCTCACATGCAGCCAGCTTTTGCACGATAGGGACTTGAACAAGGTTTTCAAGATGGCTGTGCGAACGTTTTTTCCTCGCGAACTCTCCAAGTCACTCGAGGAAATGGTTGAGGGTATGCCCGTGCCAGACGCGTCGCAGCTTCCCAGGTGGAGGATCATGGTGGACGCAGCTTACATGTTGAAACGACGGGGCATGCACCTTCCTCTCATGGAGTGCGACTGCGTGGTTTTCATGCTCTCGGACAGCTCGCCGCAAGGCACCAGAGAGAAATAACAGCGCAATGCTGTGAGGTTGCCATGCCCTCCTCCCCCCTTCTTCTCCGTGGAGCTCGCATGGGGAGGGTGGAGGGGGCCTCGGAGGGGGGAAAGAGACGGTGGGTGGAGGGTTCGGGTACTTCACCTCGTTGCGCCCGTTCCCCCGCTCAGACTACGATGATGATGGTTACTATGCTGATGGTGTTGATGATGATAATGCTGATGATGTTGATGATGATGACGATCATGGAAGATGATGATGGTAATGATGATGATGATGGTGATGGCGATGGTGATGAACATATGATGACGATGATGATGATGATGACGGTGATGGTGATGATGGTGATGGTGATGATGGTGATGATGGTGATGATGATGATGATGATGGTGATGATGGTGATGATGATGATGATGATGATGATGATGACCAGAGGGGGCCATATTGTGAGGATGTCTCGAACGGATCGCTGGCTTCAGCACTCCTAAGGGGGGGCCGCCAAGGGTATCTCACGGCCTCCATTCGCGCCAAGATTGCGGGGGGGTCTCGAGCGGTTTGCCAGTTGGCATGCTCAATATTCTCCGCGGTCGGAGCAGATGCTGAGGATGTCTCGAGCGAGGCGCTCGTTTTCACCCCCAAGCGGGAGCAGAAGTTGAGGATGTCTCGATCGGTTTGCCTGTTTTGGTGGCCAGACTGGTGGGCACGGATCCTCCCCAGGATGCCACAGGAGGCTCCAGCAGGCTCCAGGAGGCAACAGGAGGTTCCAGGAGGCCACAACAAGATTCAAGAGGCCACAGTATGCCCCAGGATGCTCCAGGAGGCCCCCAGAAGCTCCAGGCCTCAGGAGGCTCCAAGATGCTCCCAGACCGTCAATACCCACGGCCGTGAATATTCGACATTTTTTGCGCCTGGACACTCACGGCGGACAGGTCCACGCTAGTAGGTGCACATATGGGGATCTCCACGCAGTGAATCATTTCTTTGTTTGGCAAGGCGGGCGTGATTGGTTGATGACAGAGTCGCACATTTGGTTCGGGGACATGGCGGACCTGCACGCGTCGATGTGCGAACTTATCGACACGCTCAACTTTTTCAGACAAGAGTCGGACAGTGCGATCATCACCGACTCCATGGCCGAGCGCGTGAGTGAGCTGTTGAACAGGGTGAAGGAGGCGCGCGTGACAGAGAGGTCCCCTCCAGCGGGGCTCGGATATCGAAATACAAACGCTACTCATAAGGCCGCTGCCTTGGCGCACCAATTATTTTTATTGAGCGGTTCTTTCATGCAACATTGGGTTCGCCGCATTCTGAGCTTCACCACAGACTTTGGCGTTGAAGCTGGGCTCGGGAAGATGAAGCATCGATTGGATGTACTCTGCCCTCACGCCGTGAAGCTCGAGTTCGAGGCTGACAACGCTGGCGACGGGATTCCCGACGGGATGGGGGACGACGGCCAGTCAGGCGACGAAGCGATCAATCCGCTGAAGTTTGATTTGACCCCCACGTTGCAAGTTCCTGGGAGCCTCCACATACTCCACAACATCTCCAAGGATGTCACGGAGAGCATGACAAATTTTGGAAGAATGACACCAGGCATGAAAGCTCTCGCGAACTTCCTTAAGGAGAAACATCTCAGAGAAGCGCTCGTTGCAACATGTTTCAGTTCGCCAGCGTCGAGGCCGTTTGCTTGTCGGTTCAGAACCTTCGAATCAAAACTATTGCACTGGAGATGGATGAGCGTCTCGGATTTCATCGCAGAGATAGAGCCCCTAGAGCGCTGCATTCGCAGATTTTGGAACACGAGGCAGTTTCTGCAGCGCCGGGCGTCTGGTGGGACACGGGCAGACGAGAATGGTGAAAAGGACGGCGAGTCTTTCGGATCCAAGCTGCACACTTTCGCAGAGGCTGTAGCCAATGAAGAACTGTGGAGCTACATGGGCATGCTCCGCTTGCTGATGACTACTTTGAACCACTTGAACTATTGGGTGCAGGGATGTCCTTGCCACGTTAGTCCAGAATCCGCTGACGGCGACCTGTATTGGGATGTACCTGATATTTGCGTGAGGTGCGACTGCCCCCTGCGCGGCCGCCGTGCCCCTGAGATGGCTCAAGGTTGTCTTTCGACTTTCTTGCAGGAGTGTCAGAACACGTTCGGGATGAACTTACTTGAAATAACTGCCCCACTGAGATCCGCGGCTGCCCGCGCACGAATCCAGGATGACTTCGCAGAGGGCGTCAGGCATTTAAATTTCATGATGGCTTTGAAGTTTGGCTTCTGGACGACCTTGCCTTACGCGCTGTGTGGGGTAGCCCATGCGAAGGAGGCCATCGCCAGGGAAGCTGCCATCTCTTGTCTGGGTTTGTATGCACGCGTGGCCGACCGCGAGACGCACTATGTGACTCGCAAATTCTTGGAGCATGGGTCTCGGTTGCGGGAATTACTGGAGTTGTTTGCCGCTGGCACTTCTTTAGATGATCCTCAGCTCGTGGAACTTCGGTCGCAGTTGTGCGGCTTGGCTTTGGTCCCCATCATCGAGCGGAGCGTCGAAGGCCTCCATGCGCTGGTTCAGAAAGCCACGAGTAAGGCCCGCCACCATAGTGGAGCTTACGTAAGCCAGGCGCTCAGGATCCCAGAGATGTTCAAGCTCTTTGACAATGATCCAGACATGGTGATGGGCATTGTCAACAATATCGAAAAGTGCAGATCGCCTCACTGGGTTGCCGCGCATTTAGGACTGCGTCGCCACGCTGCTTTCGAGGAGTACGCGACGGGAGAGATACCGCATCCTCTATTTGACAGCGTCGTTTACAGGCTTGACTCCACATCGCAATTCGCCGACCTGAAATTGGCGAGCTTGGGAGGTGGCGCGCCGCCAGGCAGGCCCGCGCCAGTGGGCAGGCCGCGGGAATCCGAGTCGAATGTGTTGCAGGCGGCTGCTCTGGAACATGTCCGCACTACACTCGATCGACAGGAGTGGCTTCTTGCGGCATTGCCCGTTGACTATGTAGGCGAGTCTCCATTTCGACGATTATCTGAGGCCATAGGCCAAGACCGCACTACATTAGTCGCGTGTGGACAGATCATGGATTACGAGAAAGGCGACATTGACGGCCGGGCAAGGCTATCGGATGCTGGGCAGCTTATCGTGCCTTTCGGAGTCGGCCCGCCGAAGATCGATGACATCCCTACTGGAGTAATTCTGTTCAAAGTGCAGCATTTCTATCCTGCGCTCCTGAAGCGAGCGAGGGGGGACGCCGTTGCTCACTTGGGGCGCTCCGACGTCGCAGTGACATTGTTCGATATTACGCGCTGGGATGGGGACGACTGCTTTGCGATGACAAATGGCAGGCCATGCAACAGCACAGCGGGCGACGTGGCAGGTAGGGGGCCACATGCAAACCCTACCCCAACACCCGGCGATTTCTAAGGGGGAGGGTGGGGTTCACTTCGCTCGGGAGCTCCCGAACGAAGTGAACCCCACCCTTCCCCTCAGAAATCGTGGGGGTAGGGGTGGGGTTCGCATGTGGCCCCCTAGCAGGTGCACTCGCGATTGTCAACGACAGTTTGTTCGACGCTGCTGTCTGGAAGCTCTCAAAAGAGGAACCCTCTTACACGCTCCCAGTGATGGCCGAGGATTCTCGCGAACACGCTGAGCTGGTTGTGAAAGAGATGCTGAAGAACAGAGCCTACCATGGATCTGGCCAGTACTATCTGCTGAAGCGGGGCGCTGCACATCAAGAGCATCAAGAATTGGTTCTTCAAGATTGGGATCGTCTCGGGTACGTCACGCGACAAGCAGTGGGTGACGACGGCGACGCACGATGACAATTTACGGACGTTGGCATGTCCACTATGCAGGTGGAGATTCGTTTGTCGGGAGAGGAAAACGTTCTTACCCATCGAATGCTGGAGGACAGGGGAGAATGGACACATTGGGAACTTATGGATTACTTAGGGAATCGTGGATGGGTTGCACTGCCCTGGCAAAAAGGAGCGAGGGCTCCTCCTCCCCTGAGTATTGCTATACCCGACGATGACGAGATGAACAAGGACGGCCCTCCTTTGCACAAGACATGGTATTTCCGCCCGCACTGCGTCACGATAATGGCTTCGTATTTGCGAGCACTTGTGGGGGTCGAGGAGAACCGCGCAAAGCTGGTCGACCTCGGTGTCAAATCTATCGCCCACAACAAGCCAGTCGCCTACTACGCTGATGTGATCTCAGTAATAGATGGAAAGAAAACGCCAGACACGTTAACAATGCTGCCGCTTAAATTCGAGGCCGAAGTGGGGGACGTACAGCGGCGTCGCAAGATGCGCCCTGCTCTCATGGACGTCGGTCGAGCTGCACTACCCGAAGACGTTGGATTAGTACCCAATGACGACGCAGCTTCCGAGTGGGAGAACGCTGATGGCGGCGATGCCCATGGTCACGATTCCGATGAACATGGTGAGTATGGAGACGACGACCGCGAAGAGGACTCCGAGGGCGCCGCGGACGGCGACGACGACCCCCCGCCAGCGCCGCCGGCGGCGAAGGCGCCGCGACGGCCTCCTCGCCCTTGCCAGGAGTATCACGCCAAGACGCACGAGTGGGGGGCCTTCAGGATCACCTACCGCCCCGAGACCATCAATAAGAAGGGCCACTTTGTCAATCCATCATGGCAGGCAACCTGCCCCTTTAAGCCGCACAATGTACGCATCAAGTGCACCAAGACATTGACATTCCAGTTCGAGGATGAAGCTGATGAACAGATCGCACTCTGGCGAATTCGTTGTTGGTGCAACTGGGCCACTCGCAATAGAAGCAAAGCAGATCACATGAAAGACCTTGTTTCAGTTGAGGACATGCCAGAGATCGCGGAGATCGAGCAGGGCATGTTGGAGAACCTTCCCGACGAGTACGAGGGGCCGCCAGAGGCTCACGCCATGGGAGTCGCCGACGCTGCCGCCCCTGCCCCTCTTGCTCCGCCAGCAGCGCCAGCCGCGAAAGCAAAGCCTCCAGCGGCCAAGGCTA